CAGCTCTTTTTCCAAAGTGCACATCTATAGCTGTTGAAAGCCCTCTGATTTCGTTGCTGTGTCAGAGGGTGGCTGACCCTGCTGTAGTCTTGCTCTCCATCTCCCCTGTTAATTCCAGAGCCACTCTTTGTAAGTGAACAAAGTAGCCACAGCTTGGTGCAGCTCTTGTGCCACCGGCGGATGAGCCGCAGAGCCACACGTTTGGCCCAGGGACTGGGAAACAAGCCAAGCCTGGACACAGCTCTCCAGCCTGGCCCCTCTGGAGCCAGCAACGGCAGGACCAGTCCTGCACCCATTGATGGATGTGCCAATGTCCCTGGATGCAGAACCCAGAAGTGGAATAGCTGCCTGAAGAGTGGCAGCACATTTTCTCTACCCAGAAATATTTGATTAGGCAAATACACTTCAACAAGTTAAAATGACTTAAATCATCCCAAATGCCTGTAAGTTCTACTTTACTTGTTTGGTTATTGGCTCATAAGGAGGGAGCACTGATATGTTAAATGCCAAAAAAAGAAGAAAAGAAAAAAAATCCATTCACTGCAGCCTGAATACCTTTGATTTATGAATCTCTGATTCATCTTGACAGCTACTTAAAAATTCATGTCAAACTCTGCATTAATCTTGGCCAGAAAAAGAAAAGAAATGTGTTAGGGAACCAGAGGGCCACAAAATGCAGTTCCCACTGTGGGTGTGCTTAATGAAAGGCATCGGTAGCATTTACCTCGCCAGAGAATCATCAGTACATGTTACCAGATACTTTCTCTTCTTGGACTTTGTTGAGCAAATGTGTACTTGGGCATAAAAATGAATCTCTAACACTGATGTCTCATGGCATTATTTCCCTTCTTTAATTTGTATGCTTTTAATGTATGTTAGAGCTTCTCATGTGAAACTGAGATAATGCAAACATTTTGTTATATAAGGGAGAAAAGACAAATCTATTACTTTTTTTAAATTTATTTTCATCCCAGTATTGAGCATAGATGAGATTAAAAACATAGCTTGATGATATGATTGATAAATAGCATTCTCTATAATGCCTTGGAAAAATGATCATAAACTTAGTGAAATGCCTGAAATTGATATACTCCAATAAATAAAAGCAGCTGCTTTCCTCTTGCAATGACTGTGTCTCCTGCTTTGCATTTCGAAACGCAGTTTTATTTAGTGTATATCCATGGCAATTTGCTTTGTGTCCTGTGTGTTTTAAAGGATCTTAAAAGGCCCTAAGCTGAAGGTGGCAGAGGCTGGGAGGCCCACTCCCTGTCAGAGGTAAGGAGGACAGAGCAGAGAAGGGAGGCGTGCGACTGCACTCCTGTTCAGAGCCAGTTATGTTTCCAACATGAACTACAGCCAGAAAGCTGCACTGTTGCTTAATCAGAAAGGGCAGGTGATGAAAAACAGGAATGAGGTTAAATCTGTGCAGGAGATCACGCAGTTTTTTCTCCCTCTTTTTAATTACTTTGCTCTTAAACAAAGATGGGATGTTACTGTGGGGTGCTTGGTTTAGTATTACAGAAATACCAATTTCAGAATTGAGCAAATGAATATGATTATTTACTTGCAGCATCTCACATCTCCAGAAATATATTAAAGCTATATTAACCATAATTAAACACAATTAAACATGTTGTTAAAGTTTTTCAAGAAATGCAGATTCGAGATAATTAAACAGTTAAGATAGTACCTATATTTTCTACTGAAAAAGGGGTTTTCTGTGTCTCCATTTTTAAAGACTATCAGGTAATATTCATACAGTGTCCCAAATTGTATTGAAGATGATGTTAAAAGTCTGTAGTGGACAAGTCAGTGGGTCTGAATGGTGGGTTTTGATAACAGTTGAATAAATTCATTTCAGTATTTTTGGCTGCAGAATTTTTCACTGTGGTTTCTTTTTGGGTATGTGTGAGGTTGTTGCTTTTGTATTCTTGTAGAGAGAACTTAAAATTTTTATTTCCTTTGAAGAAGGGAAAAGAACAAAGGAACCCATGTGGACAGCTAAGCACTGCTCCAGACAATTTGTCTTATTGACTGCAGGAAAATTACTGGCGTGGCACCAGTGCCCTTCTCAGCCTCTTTGAGACTTGGCAAATTCTTCCTAAGCTGTTAGGGTAATGTTTGCATTAGCATTTTGTAATAAACAGGGATCAAAAGAGTTGCAAGCTACTGTAAAGGTGGACTCTTGCTAGAAAAAAAAAATAAAGGCAAATAGCTGAAAATTATTAATGCTTTATGCAAAATTATCAGCAGAAAGGTAAAGTTTCTGACTGGGGATATCTAAAACTGTTGACTTGGCCAGACTATTGATTTCCCCCTATTCATTGACAGACCTATTCATAATCAGGAAAGTGTTACGGTGGAAAGTCTCACAAGAAGAAGAGTGATGGTGTTTGCACTTCTACTCCAAAACTTGAGAGAGGAGGGTTCAGTTCCCAGCTCTGCAGCAGGTTTTGTGTGTGAGTAGCAGCAGTCTGTCACAGCTATTTCAGTACCTCCAGGCACCCAGCAGAATTTCATAGTTTCCCCCACAATTAGTGTTTTCTACTGAATACCACCCCTGTCTGCTTTTGTATATCCTAAGTCCTGCTAAACACCTCCTGATCTATAGCATCCAAATACATTTGAAAATCTGGTTTCTACCTCACAGGGGTTTTAGTGAAGAAATGTCTGAGCTGGGCCATGAAGACTAGAACACAGTGCTGCCCTGGTGAAGCTCATGTTGGATACCAGCTTGGAGGGAGGGGGATGCTGCTGGAAATGAAGATCTCCCTCTCACAACCTCCATTTGTGGCTGAGTGATCCCTTCCCACCTCCACAAATGTCCTGACACAGGCAGAGCTTTCTCCTCCTGCCACAGTCAAAATACAGATAGCCATGGGATTAACAACATGCTGGCTGATTTCCTGGAATTTCAGCTGAAATTCTGAAATCCCACCTCAGCATTGCTCTCTGGCTTCAGACACCCCCAGTTTGTAGCTTTCTAAGTGCCAGTTTGTGATCAGTTAATATGCTGTTGTTTTTAGCATGTTTCTACATTACTATACATCCTGTTTGTCCTTAGCTTTGTGCAGTTCAGGATTTGACTATTGCAAAACACAGTTTAGGTGTAAAAATAGTCTAGATGCTTGTTTCATGAAGTAAAAGAACAGAATATCCCTAATATTAAACCATAAACTAGAGATAGTTTATTTGTAAGGCCAGAAAAAGCATTTAACGACCTACTAAATCCCAAATCATTTCATGCCATATATTTCATGGACACGGGGGACATAAAATTATGAAAAGAAAATTGTTTCAGCAATGTGTGACGCAAGTAAAGTCAAACAGCGCTGTATGGAAAGGAAAACTGGTGCAGAGTCGAGGATAGATTGGTGGAGGGCCCTGTTCACAGGGTCATGGCTTTAGAAGGCTTGGCAAGACTGTAGGAAGTCCTTGCTTCATCCCATTAGTGGGATTTTGCTGCCTCAGCTGCGCTGACTTGCATCCTTGTTGGGGCCATGCTGCAAACTGTGTCAGAGGCTTATCTGGGCTGCAATAGCATTTTCTTTGTGGAATTAAACAGTGCTCTTGACTTTAAACTTGTATCAGTTGGAGAGTCCAGCTCCCAGCGAGGGCTCCCAAATGTCTGCGTGGGCTTGGGCTGTGGGGAGCTGTTGGGGACACGCTGAGCTTCTTTTGCCCCTGTAGCTTTCTCCTGTTGCCAGCCTGGGGTGAGGGCAGTGATGCTTTGGTGTGCTCAGGTTGTGAAACCATGTGGGAATCTGTGATTGAAAGTATTTCTGATCTGAATGCAGAGTTTGGAGGGGCTTCTCTGACAGACTCATGACCCTGCAAAGTGGCCTGTGATAAATGTGTATGGAATGTTGGATGCAGCACAGCTCCCTTTCTGCAGTGTTTACAGCAATATCATCTTGATAAGCCTCAGTAGTGCTAGAAATCTGTGTTTATGTCAACCCATAAAACACATTTTAGGTATCTCACCAAGACTAGTGTATAGAAACACACTGTGTAATGGTTTAGGTCGAAACCTTCACCAGATCCATCTTCTGACTTCCTTCTTGGTAAGCACGAGGGGAGAGCAGAAGAAAGCACAACTTTCTTGTTACTGTTTTGACAAATTTAGACAAGTTAGAGGTCCAGGCAATCACCAACTGTATGAAGTTTAACAGGTGCAGTGGCAGACTCTGTACCTGGGATGGGGCAACCCTGACTGTGTATAGACTGGGGAACGAGAGGCTGGAAAGCAGTGCCACAGCAAGAGACCTGAGGGTCCTGGTTGATGGCAGGTTGAATATGAGTCAGCAGTGCCCTGGCAGCCAGGAGGGCCAACTATGTCCTTTGGGGACATCAGGCAAAGCATCACCAGCCAGTCAAGGGACAGGATTGTCCTGTTCTGCTCTGCACTGGTGCCACCTCACCTCAGATATTGTGGCAGTTTTGGGCACCACAATATAAGAAAGATATTAAGCCATTAGAGAGTGTTCACAGGAGAGAAACAAGGATGGTGAAGGGCCTTGAGGAGAAGCCATGTGAGGAGCGGCTGAGGGCACTTGGTCTGTTCAACCTGGAGAAGAGAAAACTGAAGGGAAACCTCACTGCAGTTACAACTTCCTCACAAGGCGAAACAGAGGGGCAGCAGTTATCTCTTTTCTCTGGTGACTGATGACAGGATCTGAGGGAACAGCATGAAGTTGTGTCAGGGGTGATTTAGGTTAGATATTAGAAAAAGGTTCTTCACTTAGAGGGTGGTTGGGCACTGGAACAGGCTTTCCAGGGAAGTGGTTACAGCCCCAAGCCTGACAGAGTTCAAGAAGTGTTGGGGCAACACTCTCACTTACCTGGTGGAATTCATGGGTTGGTCCTGTGCAGGGCCAAGAGTTGGACTTCAGTGATCCTTGTGGGTCCCTTCCAAGTCAAGGATATTCTGTGACTCTATGACTGCCTTTTGGTGATCCCTTGTTTTACTTAAAGGTTCCTTTTCTCTCTCCGTCTGACAGGTTTAGAAGATGTTGTAGCAATAATGATTCCTGAACCCAAAGGAAAAGAGATAGTGAGCCTCCTGGAGAAGAACATTACTGTGATGATGTACATAACCATCGGGACGCGCAACCTGCAGAAGTACGTCAGCCGGACCTCTGTGGTGTTCGTCTCCATCTCTTTCATTGTGCTGATGATCATCTCGCTGGCGTGGCTGGTCTTCTATTACATCCAGAGATTCCGCTACGCAAATGCCAGAGACCGAAATCAGGTGAGCAGGGCCGGAGTCACTGATTTGTGTTTCCGAAAGATCCCCGTGGGGTTCAGCTTAGAAGTGAAAGTTGAGGAAGTTATGAACGTGTGGAAAAACAGACAAACCAAAACAAAAAATACCAGGAAAGTGAAAAGAATAGACATATAAAAACTTCTGCGTCTGGGAAAAGCCAAGACTTCTGTCCGTATGGGTGGGATTCAGGAAAAGAATTAATAATGTGTGTATGTTATGGGGGTTTTTCCCATTCAAAACACACAAGAAATAGACAGAAAGTTGATGATGTTTATTCATGAAAAGCTTGTTTTGGTGCATATAGCCAAGTGACATAGCAATGTATATAACCAACAACCCTTGAGATTACAGTGATGACTAAAATACAGAGATATGTGAATGTCTGTGTGTGAAATAATGTTTCACAATAAGTGAAGAAAGAACAGAATGTGTTTTCATTTTCATACTTCTTTAGAAGGGTCTTGGGCTTGAAAGGCAAACGTGTCCCTCTTCATTTGACAGTGATCACTGAACATATAAGTGCTGCAGTGATAGCCACCAATGCTATTAAATGTTATTATTGCTATTGGTTTTGGCATCTTGTCCAAACTCCTTGAGAGAGATACAAAGCCTATAGGGCTGGAGAGAAGTCAGCAGTGGGAATGAGCCCTGAGTCCTGAGCCCTGAATTTATAAAGCACTGTCCTTCTTTATGGTAGTTCAGCAGAGAATAATAATAGCAATGATAATAATAAATTTAATCTGTTCTTGTCTGGATACAACTATCTCAGCATCAGCAGAACTGGAAAGCCGAGGCTTCTACATTTCATTCTAATGGTACACTAGAAAATGTTATCAGTGTATGAAATCTGAGGAGATAACCATTTTAATGCAGGGAAAAAACGCACTATAATTCAGAGAGGTTTCTGAACCCTCAATAAATTACTTTCAGGGCCAGGAGGGTTGCCTTGCTTATTCTGCAGAAAAAGTAAAGCTGAGAGTGTTAATAATCATCTTGTAGAGAAAAGTACAGCCACACACTCTGTAACATATACTTGATTATAGGAATCCCTTGCCCTCCCCCATTGAAATTCAGGCATCCTCTGCGATAGAGTGCAGCTGCTCTGTATTTACAGACAGAAAGAATATATTTTCCTTTTAAATATACGGTCTGAAATTTTGGATAGCAAGAATGAGACTATCCCAGCTGGATTTTGAACATCATTGGCAGCAGATTCGCTGTGACTGTAATGGCTGTTGTAATTTTTAGATGCTTTGTCTGCAAAAGCACATGGCTGCCTAATTTGTGTGTGTAAGTGTGCTTTCAATCAAGTAATTATACAGGGAGATTAGCAATCTAAATAGAGATACATAAACATAAAACTCAGCAAAATAAGAAGCTCAGTCAGGTAATGTGAGGTTTGGAACTGATAGGTTTATATGTTCAAGCAAATTTTCTTTTCAGTGTTTTCTTTCCAAGGTTTGATTGAGACTAACATGTGCACAAGCAGTTGTCCTCTGGAGAGGTTTTAATAACTTCTATATTTTACTAGTTTTGTTCTTCAGAAGAATAAGAAAGCATGCCTCCTAAGAATTTTTTTTTTTGGCCACTTTTGCACAATAATATGAGACAAACTAGAATGTCTTCATGCCCTTTCATCATACAATTTGTCTGACGTCTCTTCTAATCTTTCTATTAACTCTTTTCATATGAAAAATGGCAGCAATATACAAAGCTCAGTGATTTGTGTTAATGCATTGCTGTGGCTTGTTTGTTTTGCTTCTTTTAGTCCTGGCTATGGAATATAATGATGTAGGTGGTTCAGAAGAGCTCATCTTGCTCTTGGCCTTGCCATGAGGGTTCCTTCCTGTTCCCTGTAAAGTTCTGCCTTTTTTTTTCTTTAACATATTCTCTTATAGCACAAAGATGGGATCACAGATTTCTACAGTAATACCTCGGATATTCAGATATATACAAAGAAAAGCTGTTTGTGTGGCTTTGCTGGAGCAAGGTTCTTAAGTCATTGCACTCAAAAGCTTTTAGCATTATAACTTGCACACATCTGTTGCTATGAAGGTGTTGTGCTTACTTGTTGGAGAGCCTAGCGTGGGTTGGAAGCACCTTCATTGCTGACTAACTTTAGAAGAGATGCTTTCTTTCTATTTGTATTTGATGTGTTCAGGCTAAAGTGTATCCACGGGCTGAAATGTTTGGATAAACAGAGGTGAAGGGGGAGCTAGCTGGTCTGTTGAGAGAAAGTTGTGCTGTCAGTTCCTACCCCACAGTGCGATGAATTTTAACTGTGCACACTGAGTGCCCTGTTCTCAAAAACCTGTGACCGATTTATTAGACTTCAGTTAAAATAATTTAAAAATAAGTGTTTAAATTAGTTTTGTCATCTGAATTATTTGAAGCCATACAGTTTTTAAAACAAGGGCTTGTGAGGCCCTATGTTTTCTATGTCAAATAAGAACCTATGCCTATCTCTTCGCTAACCTGTGCCAGGCGTGGGCTTTGGAGGTTTGGTGATACTGAATTTGATACAAGGGGCAGTTTAGCCTCCTGTGGGTTGGTAGTCTGGGTACTGTGCTGAGAGAATGGGACAACGTGTCTGCAAACTATGACTGGCAGAAAAAGCTGTTCTCTCCAAGCAGGAGAAGTGTTGTGCTTTTACATGAAGGCAAGATATCAGAACATCTTTCCTTGGTCACTGTAAGTCTCCCTAAATCATCTTCCATTTTGCCTCTTCCAAGCTGACTCATTGCAACTATGTCTTCCTTTCATGAAAAATATCATGTGTCCTTTTGTTGAGCCTCATTACTACCTTTGTCTAGTCCTATTATATATGGGGCCCCTCCTTTCCAGGTCCACTTCCATTCTTGCACACAGCATAAGTTTCTGAGCAAGCAGTAAATCCAAAAGGAACTGATTTAGTTGTCCATCAAGAAAGCAGTGAGTGCAGCTAGCAAAGAGCCAGCAACAAAATGGTTAGATATCAATTTTTATTTTAATATATTTAATATTTGAGAGTACCTCTAGCACAGACAACCGTACAGTACATATGGCAGTAGAAGATAGGTAGTAATATTCATATGGATGAACGTTTTTTCTTCTGACATAACAAGATGTTGCCCTGATAATAATCCTTTTGATATGAAGAGGATAGATTTGTGTAAGAAATGCATAGGCAATCTGTTTCCTCAACAGTTTGTTCTTGGAGCCCTCCTGAAGATGAGAGAGTTTGTAAAAAACCGTGAGAATTGTTTGCATCATGAAACATCACGTCACAGAGCTAATTAGAAGTAGTTTGGAATTATATGACAATTACAGAGTCAAAATCACAAAATATTCAAGTGCCAGAGATAATTCAGCAGAATGTGGCTTGCTGTCACAGCCCTGTAGCAGCCAGGACACAGACTTAACAACAACCAAAAAAGAAAAAAAATCAACCCTGTCAGTGTGTCAGATTTCATATTTCACCAGTAATAGTAGAGTTCTCTTGCTGTTGTTTGTGAGACGGGAAGATGACGAGGACATGATGTTCCAGTGCCAGACTTCTTTACCATATTTCTTCCATGTAATTTCTTTCCACTGGCTTCTTTTTAAGAGGAAGGTTTCTGCAAAGTCATTTTGAAGGTAGGTGGGCTTCATTAGTTTGGCAGGACAGTGGAAGCCAAATCAGGTAGCAATTGCACTGGGGTTTGGGAGGATTCCATGCAGCCTGCGTTAATCTTTAGTATGTGGCTGTCAGCATGTGGAGCAGTTATTTGAGATGGAAGATTGCTGGCTGTGGCTTTGAGAGTTTTGGGCCACTGAATAGAAACATCAGTCTTTGAAGCAGTTTTGGGAAGATGCTTCCCACAATGGAGTCTGCAAATTTTAAATGTGGACAGGAGATGGGTCTGAGGCCTTGTCCCAGTGATGCGCTTCATTTTGCACAAGGCACAGGGTGATCTCCTCCTTGCAAAGGTGATAGTTTAGTAAGGACATTAAGAGAGAAGAAGTTACTGTAATTCTTTTTCTCTAGCATTTACGGTCATTTACTTTCTCAGGAGCACATAAGTGATGCTTTCCATGCTGCTGTCCTTTCTTTTTAACTAGGATCCCCATTTCCATAAAACCACTGCATCTCATATGCTTGACTCCTTCCAGTCCAGTACTGAATGTTGCAGCCATGCTAATGAGATTATGAGATTTATGATTGTAAATCTCTAAGCCTCACTTTAAACCCTTAGACTATTGTAATGCCTCTTAACTTTTAGGAGATATCATTGGTTATTGATAGCATGCCTTGCATTCAAATGGGAGAATCCTTTGAAAGTATGCCTTTACTCCAAGATATTCCTGTTCTTTGAAAAACTAAATTACTCTCATTTCCATGTAAGTCATGAACTTTTCTATTTATGATAGATAAGAGAAAGCAAACATGAAAACAAGCAGATCAAAGATGTACATGAGTTTTTAATCTTGTCCTTTCCCCTTCAAGTGCATGCAAAAAAGAACTGAGACATTTCATTAGTTTAAGTAATAATAGTGATAAAAAGGAATCACAAGCAATTTCTGAAACAGGACATAATGGCTCTTGTCTTGCTGTATATTATCAGTCTGTCTTTGATTTACATTAAAGAACCAAATAGCTGGCAAGAAGTGTTTCCAACTCTCATCTGATCCCTTTATTTAAGGGACACTGTGAGAAAAATGGACCACAGAAAGAGATGTTGTATAACCGCAGGATACTCCCTCACATGCAATAATTAGTTATTGTGGGAAGCTCATACATAAATCTCATATAATAGATAAGATTGTTTTCACCTCTTTAGCCACATCTGAAATTGCTCTCTGCTTTCAGTATTGCATGCGTTTTGTCAGCTTCCATGTCTTTCCAATCCAATAAGCTTACTCTCTAAATTTAATTCAGTGATTTTAATTGAATCTGAAGAACAAAGTGGTAATTTATTAGTCATATCTGTATGGTGATTAGGCCTGAACTTACAAACTACCTCCAGCTTCCGTCCATTTTTGGCTTCGTGCTCTCACCCCCTCCAGCTGGAAACCCTTCCTGCTGACCAGTCCCTCTGAACTCCAGCACAGGCAATGTTCCCAGCCAGGAAAGTTGAATGTCTTCTGAGTCACCAAAGGCCCTAAGTCTCTCTCCTATCTAACAACACATGGCTGGAAACATGGATGGGGAGAGGAGGTGAACGGAAGAGTTCAAGTGGTGGCGAATTGGGATGCGCTGTATTATGAACTGTTACAAAGCTGACAAGAAGACATTGGAGTAGGTGTTGCTGCCTGGAATTGTATGACAGAGGCATGAAAAAAGTGAGAAGTGACCAGGAGGAGGGTCACCACTATGATCTGGGGACAGGAGCACATGGCATCTGAGGAGCGGTGAAGGGAGCTTGTCTTGCTAAGCTGGGAGAGGAGCAGAGGAGGAGGAGAGAGTCTGCTTCCAGCCTTCAGCTGCATAACGGGTGGTCAGAGAGGAGTCAGAATCAACCTCATCTTGGAGGTGCACATTGATGGTCACAAATTACAGCGAGGGAAATTCCATTAATATGTTTAGAAAAGAAAAAAGACTGAGATTGGTTAAGCGCTGGAACAAATTATGCACAGAGGTTGTGAAATCTCCCTTCCTGGAGATATTCAAAACTTGACTGAACACAGCTCTGCCTTTGAAGTTGACCCAGCCTTGAGCAGGGGGCGGCTGGGAGTACATGACCTCTCAAAGACTTTTCCAGCCTGTGAGTCTGTCTCCAGATGGCCTTGTCGATGGGTTAGCACAAATGAGCAGCCAAGTCCTTGGAGCACTGATACAGGCACAAGCTCCATAGCACAGGACCACTGAGCAGTGGTTGTATGGACTGCCCTGCAATGTTCACAGCCTCTTGCAAGGGACACATCCATCTTCAGCATCTGAGAACAGGGTGTTTTGCATCAGGCTGTTATTATATACTTTAATCCTGTGTGGCTGTGTGGCTGTGACCCTGTTAGCTCAGTAATGGTGTTTTGGAAATATGGGAGAACAGTCAAAAATGTCACATGGTAACCAATTTATGGTCCACTGGAGGGAAAGATAGGGGAAGAATGAGCAAATGATTATGTATGGATAGGATGTTACTGCAGGACTATATAGTGCTTTACCTGCAAGTAAACTGCAGATGCTTTATCCTCATTCTTATACTTTGCATTGCTTTTATAAAGTAGGCAATTCTGTATTGCAGGAAAAAAGGAGAGACTTTTCGCAGTTTTTGTGGTTAACAAATTAGCAGCTCACTTTCAAGTCTTACATCTTGCTGAAGATCATGAACTAGCAATGAAACAATGTACAAATAAAGTTCAGTGTTCACTTTGTTTACTGCCTAGTATTTTTTTTTAAAGTGTCATTAAAAAAAGAGAGGGAAGAAGTAGGATACCTAAATAGTGGACTTGTTACATCTGTTGCTACTCACTGCTGTAGTTTAGTGCCAGGAAGGGCTCACATGCAATCTCCACTGCAACTCTAATCAGAGTAGTTTGGCCTCATCTGCTCTGGGTTACCAGCAAGCCTAGAACACCTACTGTGGCCTTATTATGAATTATTATGTTTATATTTATACACTCTCCTGTTCCATGTACAGTCATTTGCAATTATTAAGAAGGGTAGGGAGAAAAAAGTGATGGTTTCTGCATGAAGAGTTGCTCTTTTCGTAAGATCAAATTTTGTATTACAGCGCCGGCTTGGAGATGCTGCAAAGAAAGCAATCAGCAAGCTGCAAGTCAGAACGATCAGGAAAGGTGACAAGGTAATTTTTCAAAATGCTTGTTTCTAAATGAAATTCAGTGCTGAGGATTCTTTCAGACCTCTGGGACAATGAGGCAGAACAGAAATGGCAATTGCTTATTTAGCTACTGTGTCCTTCAGGTGGAGGAGAAACGTTGGTAAGCAAATTATGTGGGGAACGGAGTAGAGACGGTGATTCAATAAAGATGCAACGAACCCTTGAAGTTAAAACAGGCTAACTAAATCTACATGCTTCCCAGTGCAGGTTTCTAGCTGGAAACATATTGGGAAATCTGACTTGCTAGTCTTGAAATGCAGTTACTGGATTTGCAATCTACTTTAGTGACTGTTTTACTTTGTCACATAGGCTCTTGTATAGAGAGATGAGCTAAGAAAAATAAAAAAAAATGAAAATTATGAATGTTCTCTTTCCTGTAGGAAACTGAGCCAGACTTTGATAACTGTGCTGTTTGTATTGAAGGCTACAAGCCCAATGATGTTGTCAGGATATTGCCTTGCAGGTAAGTTGAAGTTGCTTTAGCTCTAATAATCTCTCTACTTCAAGACAGGCTCTGTTCTCACAGTTTCACACTGATGAGATTACCTGAGAGCTGGGGGAGGAAAGGGAAGGGTGAATTTATTATTGGGATCTATTCAAAATCTGTTGTTAAAGATATCTGAAATGCCTCTTTATTCAGCATGAAGTGAAACAGGTATTAATAGTGGTGAGACCTTGAGGGTTTAGTATGACAGTCAGAAATTTTGTCTGATCTGGACCTATTACAAAGGACTTCGGTAGCATTTTTACATTAAAGGTTTTGATTCCTCTGTTTTCCTCATTTTTTTTTCTTAATCAGTCCAGAATAAATGCCTTAGGAGAATTTGCTTCTGACTTCAAGGTGAGGCCTGGCCACAGCAGACAGGGATAGAGCAGGCTCCTGCTCCCCACGGAGCTACTTCTTTTGCTGTCCTGGGCCATGTTCAGGCACTGAGAAAGGGCTGACTTTTGTCAAAAAAATCCCCAGTCATAAAAAGAGATACGCTGAGTAGAAACAGTAAAGCAAGGTGAGAAGAAGAGTTTTTCAGTATATTCTTTCTCCTTTTTTCCCCCTCGTGTGAGCATGCCCTGTGCAGAACTTACACTTGCAGTGATGTGAAACAGGAGCAGAGCCTCTTGCCACCCCTGACAGCTGTATTCATCTTTGTGCTGTTGTATTGTCATCTGTGAAGCGACATGAAGGATTTCTCTAAGGAAATCAATTTCTTAAGAAATTTCCTAGGAACACTGGTTCCTCCAGGAGAGCAACAGCAAGTGTTTGATTTCCCTAGATATAAGAATCTTAAGTGCTATACATGCAGAGCAGAGGTTTTTATTTTTTTAATAGAGCTTCTTCCTTCTCCTGCATCATATTCACTGGCTTGAGAAACCAAAATACTTGTTTATTTTCCTGCTATGTTGTTCCCTAGTAGATATTTGAATGTTACAAGCTGTCCCTTTCTGTTAGTTCATGCAACTCATTAAATCTGTTTACTGTCATCTCTAAGTGGCAAACAAAAAGCAACAGATTAATCATAAATTTGACCTACTGTAAATCCCCCACAATGACAAGTCACATGTGAACTTTTTTTTTGTTCTACAAACAAACACAAACACATCATCTTGTGAAGCAGAAATACAGAACAGTGAGAAATTACCAGAAAATATGGACCTTGGTTTGACATCAAGCCTGTTTGCACAGAAGCAGAATAAAGCTCAGAAATTTTGCATGTTAGAGACAGGCAGTGTTTGGAGGTAGTTATACAACATCCTAAAATATGTCTAAGCTTTAGCTTTCACTTGTGTGTCACCTCATAGTTCAGTAAGACTTTGTCATGCACAGCGTTGAGTCAAGCAGAGTGGATAGGAAACACATAGTTAACAGGTGGTGTTCAATTCTTGGCTGACTTAAAAGGTCGCCTAGAAAGTGACTCACGCTGAAAGGGTAGAAGCCGCAGAACTGTCTTGTAAAATACTCACAGTTTGAGCCTCAGCAGTCTGGAATTATAAAAACTCATCTTTCTCAATCAGCTACTTCACAACCCCTGGCTTTCCGGCTACACAAGTTGTGAGGGCAGTGTTTTGCGTGTTCTCATGTGTTTGAACTTCTGAAACATGAAATGGTAGTCCTGACTCTTTCTGCTGTTGACAGTCTTGTCTCCTCATTAAAAAAAAAAAGAAAAAAAAGATTAATTTCTGTGTCTGTGAAGTGAGTAGGAGTGTGTTATATCTTGATAAAGACCTACAGACTCTGTAGTTTTCTTCCTCCAGCATCCTCAGTTAAACCGTGTGCAGTTTCTTAATGTGGGAACATCATTAGACTGCTGTTTAATAAAAGGCTGGCATGTCACCAAGCTTACAGAAGCCAGCACCATATGACACCAGTGCTGGCTAACCTTGGTGTTTCTATCAGAGATGTAGAAGGTTTTATCTGCAAAGCAAAATATGCCCCAGGAGTTGCACATGAAAGGTGCTGCCCTGTACTGCAGGTAGTACTGGGAAAGCCACTGCTGGCAGGCACACTCTGTATAAAGCCCTGTGTGTCTTGAGATTTCTCTTTAAGACTCTTTAAGACTTTTTAAGAGCCTGAATCTCCTAAGAAATTGGTACCAAAAGTCCACCTGCTGGTATTGCAGTGGGTGAGCTCTGAAGTCAAATAGCTACATGTTTACTAGGACTTAGGCTGTTTCCCCAAACAGTCCTCTTTTCTGCTGGCACTGGGATAGCCTGTTGTTATGTACCTCACTCTGAAAAGCTCAGAGGAGAATTCTAGTGAACTCATGCTTCTTCCTCTCTGTCCTCTTCAGGCAGCTCCCACAACTGACTGTATTAATAAACTTCACTCTGCAGAGTGTATTAAATAAATAAGGAGTGACACTTGGTAAAAGAAAAAGAAAAAAAAAAAAAAAAGTATTGCCTTGCAGCTGGTTTTATGTTTAATGGTAGCAAACATCACTGAAGTTGTCTTTGAGGGCACTGACACACGATCAAATGTAACCAAGTTCATTGTTCCCAGAGTGACATCCTTATCACAACCCTGGTTCGTTCTGCTTGTCCTCCATCTTCAGCTTCAAAATGCTGTTGCCTTTTCTGCTCTAGCTTTGGAGAAGTTACTGGTGCTGCTGCCCCCAGCGTATGCCTTTTACTAAACTTCTACTAACTACTAAACTTCTACAGAGAGCCAAGACATTTCTTTCAACATTATCTCTGCTGAGTTCCTCATAAGCTTTTTTTTTGGCTGTTTCATTTCTCTCACTAATAAACACACTCTCTGACCCCATTCCAGCTCCTTCTCTTCCCCTGAACCTTCACTCTATGAACAACTGTGATTTCAGTCTGCTTCACTCCTGCTTTCTCTTTTTATTAGCTTCCTTTGAAAATTATTTCATAGCACACATTCTTTCCTTTCATTCCTTCCTCTCACCCTCATCATCATCTTCTTTTATCCTTCCTTTTACCTCAAAAGTAAACAAATAATACCCTAGATGCACCCCTAAAAGCTCAAACCATCTTGTTGGATACTACAGTGCTGCTCAGTCTCTCATCAAAACCCTTCTCAATCCCCTGCTTTAGCCCTATGTCTAATCCAGGCAACTGATGCTCTTACTCAGGGTCCCTAGGGATGTACCTCTCTCTGCATAGACGAGACTAGGAGTAGAAGGCAGGAGGAGAACAGTTTCCCCTAACCTGGAAAAAAAGCTTCTCAAAATTGTTGGCAAGCTGAAAGCTTTACAATAGTTTTACTACAGTCATCATTATAATTTGGGGCTGAGTTCAACATGACTTTTTTTTCTTGGGTGATTAAAATTGCAGCTTGAAAGAAAATGTAAATACATTTCAAACAAAAGTAATCACCAGTTTAAAAAACATGAAGTGCTATTTAGATAATAGTAAATGGAGTGCTCTGGGATTTTGAGGTTCTTTTTCTTTGTGCTCTGTGAGCCGTGTGCAGTCACAGAAGAGTGCAGGAGGGATCCCAGGAGGCTGCCACCTCTGGAACAGCACAGGGACTCTGGCACGCACGTGTCGTTCTTGGGAGCTTTTTCCAACACACTCTGCAGTCTCCCAGGATGAAGACTCTGCAAATTCCCCTGATAATTTATTGCAGTGCTTTGTTACCCTGACTGTGGTGAAGCCTTTCTTATTGTGTAGCCTGGATCTCACTTGCTGCAGTTTAAACTCATCATTGTGCCTCTTATCCCTAGGAGAGGGAAGAGCAGTTGTTTCCTTTCCCCTCATGAAAGCCTTTTTGTATGACGTTGTTGCAACATCTCCTCGCCTTCCTCTCTGTCAACTAATCAATTACAGTTCTTTTGAGAAACTTTTCAACCCATCCCAATCAACACAGTTTTGCAATACATGTGGTTGCACACAATAGGGAAAAAAAATCAGGGTTTCTTTTCCAGGTTTGACTTTGATTGTCAAAGCCATATCCCAAGCCTGTGCCTGGAACATCTCTCTCTTAGTGTCTCCTTGTGTGGGTCATTACTTCTGAACTCATCCGTGATGCCTCTTCTCCTTCCATTTAAAACTTGCATCAGCCAGAACTGCAGAGGGAGAAGGATTTTTGTTGCAGTTGATCTCTTTACGTCTTTATCTTACCATGTGATGGTGAAATACTGCAGTTGCTCTCTCATCTTACCTTGTGCTCCTTGAATTTGGGTAATGGACTGATCAGGACATCAAGCAATTGACAATTTGTTAAAAGCCATAAGCATGTACATAGTGCTATAGCTAATAACAAAGAAAATAAAGTTTCAAGTCCAAATCTGCAAAGCTTGCCCCCGTGCTTCTCTTCACAAATGTTTACATGTTCAAAATAGATATTACGAAAACTCTAATTGTATAATGCAGTACAAAAATTTTAAAAGGCAAATCTTTATCTGATTTTCAATAACATTCCATTTTTCTATAGATTTCTGTCAAATCAAGTTCCTTCTGTTGTGCATACTAAATCTGAAATTAGTAGATTCATAATAGACTGTGCTACATTAGTATTGAGAATTGCAAAGTGACACAATCTGTCATGTAATTAAATTGCTTGGCATTGTTAGTACTTATTTTAGAATATTGTTTTTGAAGCCAACTTCAGGAGCACTGAACTGCAGTTTTTGAAGTCTTTAAGTCACAAAAGTTCCAAGCTTTTGGTGATGAACTAACATCACAAAATTCTGTAGTTTGACTGCAGAAATTCCCCAGTTTGACTGAGGCTTTCAAAGCTGGAACTTGAAAACAAAAAGGGATTTTCTAGTCTATGGTAAAATGTCTTAATAGAAATTATGCTTTTTTTAATCCAAAACAGATTTTGGAAATCTGGAGTTTTTTCTGAGAGAATAATTATCTCAGATTTTGTAAATGTGTGGATTATTTTGGCACAGACATGCTTCAGATGTTTGCCAATAAACGTGTTTGTTTATTAATTTGATTATATAGTTAAAGAAAACCAATCACTATCAAGAATTTCATAATTATTTCGAATAACTGAAAGGCAAGACATTGACTTTCAGTACCCTCCATGAATTAACGCACCCAAGAAATTCTGTTGGTCAGACTTTTTTAAATGTAAAATTACACATGCCTGAGAACTGTATGCTTTCCCCTATTCAGAATGCTTATCTGATGATGTGCTGAATATGTCCCTCCTAAGATAAAAGGAAGGAATTCTTAAGCAGGACAGAGACCAAAATCTGGTACACTGTGTTGTTATCCATTAAGTCAGGTCTTGTTTGGAAGGACAGCTCTGATCTTTAGTAGCCTTAGTAAAGAAGTGGTTTAAACTTCAAGTTTAAACTTCACGATGCCTCATTTGCATTAAATCGTGTTGACAAACAGGGTCAGACGAGGTTTGGCCAAGTTCAGTATTGCAGCCAACTCATATAATTAGACTGGATCAAACTCCCAAGAACAGATTTGCCCTTTCCCATGGTTGTGTGAAGTGATACCAAGCAGAGGAATGTGATAATGTGCAATGTAGCTCTGATTCACAAAGGATCCTTTTTTTTTCTAGAAGTAGTGAGTAAAAACACTGTAGTAAAAAGAATAAGATTATGAGATTTCACACAGTTTTGACTTTGAATTTCTAGTATTACTTAGGACTGCAGTCCTCTCAGAAGCCAAACAGCTGCTCTGTTGGCCAGTAGCATCTTAGTAAGAGCTGGGGTTACAAACCAGTATTGGTGAAAGTGCAATTCAGTATCTTCCATCAAGCTGAAAGTGCATCCTGTTATGTGAGAACAGCTGTGCCATAATACTTCTGCTGACCCCTTCAGCTGAATAAGTAGCACTTAAATATTTAACATTATTTTGGTACATTAAGTGATTCTGGCTTTCTCAGAGATGGCATTTCCTTGTAGAGGCTGGTATGTGCCACGGTCCAGGCAGAGCCTTAGAATCAGAATTGTTTAGGTTGCAAAAGACCTGTGAGGTATCAAGTCCAAACATAAGCCTGCAAGCACTGCAAAGTCCACCACTTAACCACGTTCCCAAGTGCCACATCCACAACTCTTTTAGATATCTTCAGGGATGGTGATTCCACCACTTCCCTAGGCAACCTGTTCCCATGTCTGACCACCCTTTTGGTGAAGAAATGTTTCCTAGTATTCCTAGTAACAGAATATGCTCACAAGGGAGAATGCAATCTGTCAGTCAGGTTCAAGCACTGAATATATCTATATTTAATATAATCCATATTTAATGATATCAGTATTGGTATTTAATAATATCAATATCAGTTTGTGTCAGGCAATGCTAGAGAAGAAACCTTCAGCTCCTCCACCTGAATAGTGTCTAAAAAAAGGGGTGCACAGCAGCTACAAGGCTCAGGTAGCTGCTTGGCAGTCATTTCAGACCTAGAACAGTATTAGCAACAACTCCTTCAGGGCTGGCATTGTGTAGGAGCTCTCTCTGATGGGCAGCTTCTAAAGAGCAAGAAAGTCAGGGAGAATGTGTTAAAAAGCTTCATGCTAGCTTTTCTGTTTAAATAAAAAGTATCTTCTTTTTAACTCAGTTTATTTGCCTGTACCTCTATCCTGAAAAATACTATGGTCAATGGCTTCACATTTAAGTTATCAGGTGTAATCAAGTTTGTAGAAACATCAAGAAATACTAACATGATTTTTACCTTTACCAGCAAGCAGCTTTTGTTTACTGACAGCCTTTGATGTTTAAAGAATATGGGATTTGCTGATACATTTTGTGTATTTTCCCTATTTCTCTAATTATGCGTGTCTTCTATTCCAAACACACTTAAATGTGCGCTTGTGCTTGAGATTCTGAAGGAACAATCTTAGTCTTGTGTGCATAGGATCTAGTTTTGCAGTCTTTTAGAGAGGTCACAAACTGCAAACTCTTTACTGAATTCAGAATCATCTGGTAGTAAGTGGTAAATTGTGCTGTGGTGCATTTGAATTAAGATATCCTGGTTTTCCTTGCAGGCATCTTTTCCACAAGTCCTGTGTGGATCCCTGGCTGCTAGACCATCGTACCTGCCCGATGTGTAAAATGAATATTCTAAAAGCTCTAGGGATTCCGGTAAGCACATCACAGAGCAGCTGGTTGGGGCAGGAGGGAAACACCAGCTACTTGGGTATATCCTTAGCCCTTCACCTGTCTGTTCCCATCCTACTCTTTTTTGCCAGATTTATTAACTGATTTATTAAGGGATGTACAAGGTCTGACTCTACCTCGCTCCTGTGCCCCACTTCTATTAGCAAGGAAGAGTGTGTGTTTGGGGGTTGGTTGGGTGTTGGGATTTGTGTGTCTGTGGTTGCCTGCTTCGTGGAGCAGAAGATTGTTTACTGGTGTTTTAGTGGATTTATAGGTTCTTTCACATAGCTTTCGCTTGTGTTTTAAATCAGGACTGGATTTATTTTTTTAATCATGCTCTCAGTTCCAATCTCAAAGAAGAAGTCTGCAAATAAAATTTTCTCTGCTATGCTGGTCAAGGACAACTAATTGCTCATTCTGGGAAACCAAATCTTCTTTCTGTCAGATTTCTCTTAAAGTCTATCTGGAGCAAGATCTGTACTCCTAATTCCAATTAAGAGGCATTTCTCCCATGGTGGGCCACATGACACACAAGAAATTGTTAAGCCCTTTGTTATTTGAAATATTCAGCTGTGGTTAGAAGCTGCCAAAGCAGTTGATCTTTTTAAGTTGCATGTTTGCATTCACATAGTGCATGTCCTGTTTGCCATACAGTTCCCCAGCTGGAGCTATCACAGAGCTCAGGGGCTTCTCTAGGAAGGAGTGAGTCACTCTCTCCCCCTGTGCAAGGCTTGCCACGTGACACTGAAGTTCAGTGCTGTGACACCACCAGTCGATGAATTAACAGGTGCTGTAAATACCCTCCCAAGTTAGAGATGGTGACGTGCCAGTTCCCATATGAAAGAGCTATATAAAGTAAAACAGCTCACGTGAACATCCTGGGGGAGCTGATCCAGCCGTTTCCCCGGAGTTCATTTTCATGGAGACGAGGAAGCAGGTTGCTGCAGAAGAGGGTCCACAGCAAGCGATGAAGTGTGTTTTTGCTGAAGTGGGCAGATATGTTAATCAACCTAATACAATCCAAAATAAAAAGATGCAATGGGAAAAATGAAGTAGAGCGTTGTAGTCGGGGTAACATGTCATTACAGCTCGGCTACTTTTTCTGCTAAACCTATATATTGTCTTTAGAATATTGAAAGATGATACAACAGTTCAGTCAGTATTTGAGATGAAAGCCAGAATGAAGGCTAGCTCAGCCATTCAGCATCTCTGCACCTAGGCTTAAATACAGAATTTTTTCCCAAGGTTCCATGTCTCAGTTCACAGGCCTGCCAGTGAGCAGTTATCCAGGATTCTGACAGCTCCTCTCCATACCCAGTGTATTGTTCCATGGCTTCTACACCATTTCTGCACTCACACCGATCCATTCACATTTTTGCCCAAGCACTTCATTAAGGTGCTCTTTGTCAGGCTTCATAATCAGGGGATATAAGGCAAATCAGACCACCGGTTTTTGGAGGCCTGCAGTGGGATGTTAGAGGCTTCCAGAAAGTTTAGTGCTGTGAGAATTTACATCCAGAATACGGCTCTCACTGGCTTCACTGACAGCTACTGAAGGCTAAGCATGTCCACAGGCTGTCTGAGGCTGGGCACAGCAAGGGGAAGGGAAAACATGCCCAGAGGCCATCTGTAGAGGTTTTGTTGTACATGACTGGCCTTTACTATATACAAACAGCTCTGTAGTGGCAGGTATAGAACCTAATTGCCAGGAATAATTAAAGTGCCATTCAGTTACCTCAGCCATCATTTATCTCCTCACAGCTCCCTGTTCTCTCTGTACCACAAAGCAGAAAGGAGATCCATTCTGCATCCGTCACTGAGGGCTTTCTGCATGGAGTTTCTGTGGAAATAATTGTACTGGGTGTGTAATTAAAGACACTGCTATAACATACATGAACAACTGGTTCAAATTAAGTTTTCCAAATCAGCCTTAGTGTTGGTCTGTCTCAATACTAAAAATAAAACACTTGTATGTTGATGTTCCACTAGCAAAGTTTGTTTAGGGGATTTTATTGTATGAAGTTCTGTAAAAATTTCCTTAGGTTGTTCTAAGACAACAAACTGAAAAACAGCCCCCTACATCTTTTGGAGGGGGCATACTGGCTCCCACCTGCATGGATCATCAGTTAGGTTCATGAAGGGAACATAAGAGAGCCTTACCCCTCGAGGTGACTTTCAGTAGGAGCTGTTGTCCATGGGAACTTGGAGCAGATGATAGCCTTTGTGTCAGGTGTCCTCTGAGTGACAGCAAAGGAAGTGGAAGTCTGAGAGCATCTGGTAGCCTGAGGGTTAAAAAATCCTATACTGCTATCAGTTGCTCCTCTTCCTCTCTTTTCTTTGCCTTCTCTTCTTGAAATACACCTCAACTCCTGCTTCTCCCTCTCCTGCTTCTCCTCTGCATAACCACTCCTTCCCAACCTCTGTCCTTCTGAGCTCCTGCCCTGCTGTCACTGCTCCTGCTCACTTGCAGGACCTGTTCTCCACCTGCACAGAAATTGTGTGTCCTCACCCTTCTCAGCACCAGCCGAGGGCAGCCCAGGGTGGACATCAGTCCTGAGGGCTTGCAGGCACTGGGCAAAGCTCACTTCTCTTTGGTGAGTGTAGTTGTAGGTGTTGGTACTGGATAAGCCACCAGTCTCTGTCAGCACACATGAGCTGATGTGTTTAGAGGCTCATTGCTTAGCCAGATGTCTGTAGGCTGCTGTGGGAAGAGATGTTCCCTCAAAGCACCTGTAAAGCTCTAAGGCTTCTCAATGAGAAGTGGCAAACATTTCTGTAGAGTGGATAAAGCAAAATGTCTGTCCCTAACCACATTCTTGAGTCTTACTGAGCCATCTCGGGTGAAATTTCCACTCACAGAAAAGCAGCGTTAGGCAGGCACCAGTCTCTGATGGGAGACTTGAGTGCAAATTTGCCCAAGTCCTTTTCCAGACTTTTACAATGGGAGGAATAAGGAAATCTTATCACAGGCAGGGCTATGGTGTTTTTTTCCTGCCAGCAGCATGTTTGTCCTATGGTTGTGATTAAGGACCTGGCTCGTGTGACTGTGGATATATTGTGCTTCATTTCACAGGAAGACTTGGGATTTTCCAGGAAAGCATTGGTTAAAATCCAAATACCTAAATGTTTCAATTCAATTCACATCTGAACTCTCCATTTACTTTGTAACAGAGACTTCAAATATTATCTGCCCTAAACCCAGATTCCCCAGGCAGCTGTGAGACACCGAAATGTCTGCACTCCTTTTCACGGTAGCTGAGCACCCAAACACCTTCACTTTTCTCTGTGGCACTCTACAGCTCTGGAGGATTATTAACTATTTATCAGCAAATGGTTGGCCTAACCTTTTCCACTCCCTCTTTGCTGGTGAATCCAGCTCAGACTATACTTCTTACAGCTGTAATATTTGAAATGGATTATCAGTTAAAGTGTCTTTCACTTTAAATAGCACTACATTGCTGTTGGGATGATCATATCACATAAAATAGCTTCCCCCTGCTTCTCCCTCTTTTCTGCAAATATCTGCTGGATATGCAGTCAGATGCATTTTTGGCAGCAGATTGTGTGACTTGAAGCTATTCACTAAGAGCCTTAGCCAAGCCCTCAGAAGTCAATACAAAACCTTCCCTTGACTTTAGTGGAATTGTGCTCTCAAAGCACTTACATGCAAGGAATGAGTGAAACCAATATAATTAAACTTAGCAAATGTATCTGGGTCACTCTGGCAGCAAAAGCTGTAATGGGGGTGTGTGTGTGTGTTTTGATCAGTATTTCATATCATTAGTTTTATAGCATGCTGCTTACTTTGGGGCATTTTTTCCAACTAAAATGATTCAGGAGTAAAGGGATTAATTATATCAAGCAATACCATTTTTACATCTTTAGGGTTTGATTTGGCTTTCAATTATAATCCCCACTTTTTAAAGGTTTAAAAATTTGTGATAAAACCCCATTGCAGGAATAACTGGCATCAGAGCAAAGGACAAACAACTGATCCCTTGGAAAAAATTGAAATACTTTTTTCTGTAATAGAAAAAAAAACAGGCTTTTTTTTTTTTAAGGTACACTGCCACCAAAGGCAAATTTAAGTTAAAAATGAAATTCTTAAAACATTTTTTCGTAATAGCTGAGTGCTACATCTAAGGGATAATTTTGAATCCCTGTCCTGCATATAAGTGATTGGTATTTCATTTTAAAAAGTGCAGGTTCAGTGAGTTTCATTAAAACCTGGTATAGCTGAATGTGTCTTTATCCCAATTCTGAGGAGTTCTTGCTGTTTGTGGATTAGACTGGACCCAGGCAACAACAATTCTAATTTTTATACCAAACTTCAGTTTGTGGATATAAGATTGTTTAAATTGCCTGCCTTTTTCATTTGGAACATTTGTGAAAAAGTGCTTATGAGGCGGCAACCATTAGACAGGGAATGTATGTGAAAAAGAGAAAACATGCGAATTTCCTCCTCCTGAAAAAACATGTAAGCATATGGTAACCTTCTGTGCCTGAATTCAAAGGGATTTCTCTTGTGCTTAGAGTTAAGCCTCTCTTTAAGCCTTTGTTGTATCATATTTTGCTTAGTTTCTTGGTGCCTGCTGTGGCAAAATAGGCAGGTAGTGAGATTTTCCAAAGTGCCTTAGCATGTGAGAACTAAGCATAGAAAAAATCAGATCCACTGAAGAGAGTACGTGTCCTGTGACGTTAGCCATCTGGCAGCTGGATTTCCAGTCTAGCAGCTTAAGCCCTGTCTCTGCTTAGTGCTGAGCAGAGGGAAAGCAGAGGGGGCAATTCATACCTAGGGGTATGGGATGAATCCCACAGCAGTATTGTCTCAAACCACTGAAGTTAGAGGAAACCTAAGTGACTGATCCAGGTTAGCTGTCTGATTCCTGAAAAATGAAGATAAATGGGAACAACTTAATTTTTCATTTCCTAACTAAACCAAGTGTCTGTGTATTGCAGCTCAGTCTTGCTATGTCCCTCTGTCGTTGGTCTTGCTAAATCACATAGCAAGAAAGACTAGAAATCGAATAATACTCTTCGAATTCCCATAACTGCTTGTCTGTTTCTTTTCTTATAATTTTATTTTATAGGAAATACAGTATTATCAAGGGAAATGATCTTTTGATGTTTAGAAATTGTCTTACAAACAGCTTTAGCTTTTATTTTTGCAACCCACACATAGATGCACCCACAGGCAGCTCCCTTGGATTCTTATTCTGGGAAGCTCTGATATTGGCTCTATAAAATGTATATTTCGGGAAAAGATAATCATTCCCCTTCCTGCTGTCTGTTTACATTTGTGATCTGACTCAGCAATCTGCTTATGTTGAGCAGATCGTATCAATAAATGAGTTACACTTTTCCAAACCCTTCTAAAAGTATAAGTAATAATGTTTAGCAATTGTAGGTGACACAGTTTAATAATATTTCCGTGCCATACTTTGGGTCTCTCTTCCAACAGATTGTTTTAAGTACATGAAAACAGACAAACTCTGTGTGTTTATTCATTGTATGTTGCCATTTTCAGTACTGAAATAAAGTGAAAAGCTCAAAATAAGTGAGAACAAGTAAATTCAATCTTTTTATCAGTAGAAGCTCGATTTTCTTTTTTTTTTCTTTTCCTCCCATTAGCCAAATGCAGATTGCATGGATGATATACCTCCGGATTTGGAAGCATCCATAGGAGGACCACCAACCAACCAGATAACGGGAGCCAGTGACATAACAGTGAACGAGAGCTCTGTAGCCCTGGATCCCCCAGCACGGACTGTGGGAGTACTACAGGTCATCCAAGACGTAGACTCCTTTCCCCAGGCTGGGGAGGCTAACTTCACAACAAGCAGTAAGTTCCAATTTCTGGCAGAATTTGCACTGAAATAAATGTTTAGAAACCCCAGTAGCAAACTGATCTCTTGAGGGCATTTCGCTGGAGCAATGGCCGTACTTTAAGCCCAGCGGGGAATCTACAGGGTAAGTAAATTTAAATATCATGTGTTCTCCTGTACTTGAAAACCAGAGCACAGTGAAATAACACTGCCAATTTGTACAAAAAAAAAAAAAAAAAAAAAAAGAGAGAATTTTGTATGCTTTCAGTGTGTTTAGTTTTCACTTGTGTAAAGGGGCACCATTTGAACGGGTAATTCTCAAAATGTCTTCGTGTCTCTCTGTTCCTAAAAATTATGTTCTCTCTTGCAAATCTACTTCTGACAGTTTAAAAGGAATGTTGTCAGCTGTTTCGAGTGAGGATTGTACTAGTCTTAAAATTCTCATTTTTAGGTAAAATAGCAGATCAGTAGAAAATACTTATCTGTTTGATACCAGTTGGTGTATTGACAAGACTAGTATCATCAGATATACTTTGAAGGAAGGTAGAAGAATGTAACAAAATATAGGTTTGTGTATGGAGTTAGTGTAGGTTCTGGGAAAAACTAAACATTTTCAACCATTTCTAGATACTGCTATGGGCCTGGGCATGAAAAAGAAGACAAGTAGTAATATGACGTGTAGAAGGTAGGAGACAGATGACAGAACTAAGATGAAATGATTTTACATTAGTCTCCTTACTCTGTGGAAAGACTTGATAATCACATTTTCCCCGATATTCCAGCCAACGTCATGGCAGTGAAGATAACTTGTGGAAATGCTGGACTTGTGACCTTAGACACAGGTGACCCAGAAGTAGATTTTTAAATTTGGTTTTGTGGATTAGGTTCTGGTTTTCTCTAAAGGTCTGGCCTTTTTATGGTCTAAGTACTGAATCCAGCAAGGGGTGAGCAGCAAGGTTAATAAGCCCAGCCATCTTCCATGGCCAGCCTGTCAGCTCGTGGCATTCAGCTTTCTCAAGTCTCCTTGAGTGCTGGCAAGAGCTGTTCAAAAAAAGATATTCCTTCCAGTGATTGTTTTCTTAAATGCATTTGAAGCTGTTTTAAACAATGAAGGAAAGATGGTACCACAATGTAATAAAGACTGTGCTAGACACTGTTTTCAGCTGTGCCCTCTTAGCACTCCTGAAGCAAGTAGCTCCTGAAGCAAGTAGCTCCTCTCACAAATAATGATCCTTGCCCCACTGTTCTTTACAAGGTCTGCTGTTAAGGTTGGGAAGGAGGGCTGTGATGTGCCCTTTATACACACACAGCTGCATGACAGATGCTGGGAGAAGCCAGCAGCCTGGTCCAAAGCCCAGCACAATGGGCAGTCCATGCTTTTCATCCCGCGATCTTGTCAGACTGAGAAGCAGCTCTGCTGGTTTCTCACCATGAGTAACAATGGTATTGAGGCTGCCAAGGAGCACCAGAACTCAGTAACTCTCCAGACACTCTTTTCCCTCCAGGTTTGTTTCCAGAGTCTGCAGAAGGAACAAAGACATTTTTAATTCACTTTCCAAGTTGCCAGCTAAGTTGGATAACTGGGTGAAAAACTTGCACTGAGCCAGCAGAGTACTGCAGGGTCTGCAGAGATGCTTTATTTTGCCTTGTTGCTCCAGTTTTCCCTCTTGCCATCCATTTGCCCCCTTACCTTTAATAACATCAGGCAATAGACCCTAAGACTGGACAATCCTGAGGGCTGACAGTGGAGCCCATGGACAAGGAACTCACACCAAGGCCAGTGGTCTGTCCTGGCACACAGGCAGCAAACCATGGAGTGTCAGATCTCCATCACCTGAAGAGACTGGCCATGTCTGGGGAAGGACTGTGAAAAGGGTTTTCCCCTGGTTATTTCCCCTGAGGGAGAGCAGGAGAAGAGGGCCTGAGTTCTGTGAATGTTGTGAGCCTCATGCCATCACAGGGGTGGCCTGCTAAAAGCAGGCCTTTCCAGTTGTTTTGTGAGGAAAGAAGAGTCCTGAGGAAAACTCAGAGCACCTTGGGACTTCCCAAACCCAGCTGTGTGCCTGCCTATGCTGTAGTTGCCACACAGTCACTCAGGGAACTCTGATTTGATGCTTGGTTAGCTCTTGTCACTCACTCATCGTTGATATCTAGACATGAATCTTCATCTGGATTTCTCATCTCAGAGGGGAATACAATACTTGAATATTCAGCAGTGGTAAATGTGCAACTTAACCTGCTGTCACCACCACATCCAAAGTGGTGTGTTTTGCAGTAGTTCCCAGAAGCAGCCATTTGGCCCCTTTTTGCAGCAGAGCTGCAGCAAAGAAGAGGTCTTTGGTTGGGAGATAGAGGCTGAGTTCCAGCAGTGATGGGAAATTGTCTCTCCGGTCAGCTTATGTGAATTTGGGGCATTCGGGCACTCTGAAAGGTAGAACTTGGCATCTTGGGCAGCCTGAACTCTTAAGCCAGTGAAAGGGACCTTATATATAGTTGTGGTATGAACCCAAATGGTAACTAAATCAGAGGGCAAATGTAGGCTAAATAACTGGTTCATAGCTGTCATAATAGATGGGACTTCATAGGCACTGTGTCTGTTTATTGTATTCAGGCATTGTATTTCTCATTTCCAGAATCCTCAGTTACACAACTGCAGCGTTTGCTGAGCGTGCCCTTTCTGTGAACTAGACTGCCTGGGAATTTGTAAGCGATGACGCTGGTTGCTCCTAGGAATCTTTGCTGAAGTTGCTAGGTTCTGGCCTCTTTATATAGCATTAGTGATGGAGCCTACTCCGAGGCTGAATCTGCACTGGAAGGTTTTCTTCCTTTTGTTATTGAACCTGTGCAGACTCCAAGGCTCCAGTGCGGTCTTGACGTGGCATCCTGCACCCGGCACCACAAGTCCTTGTGTCCTTCCTTACTCCTCACAAAGTCCAGTGGCCCAGGAGTTGCCTTCTTTCCACCCACTTCTGCAATACTTTTCACTTAATTGTTGCATTCTTTTTGTCTGTTGATTAATCGTTCTGGTATTGTTGTCTTGGTTTGGGTTTAATTTCCCTTTCTGTGTTTCCAGTGATTATTCAGAGCCAGAAGAGCTCCCACAGTGTATGTCTGGAGGGAGGATGTTTCCAGAATACTGTTCACTTTGGGTAAAATTCCATCTCCATGGTGGCAAAGCTCCTACCTACTTCAGTGGGGCAAGATTTTAATTTCTGGAGCTCAGCTAGTACTTTTCTTCTTAATTCTGTGTGTATGCTCAGCACACGTTTCCTCTTCTCTCCCTCCCTTTTGCTTCCTATGCTCCTGGATAGGTAATGTCTTCCATAAGACCCTAGGAGATGTACTGTACTGTGAGCATCTGGATGGGACTTCATCTGGGGGCCAGTCCCTAGGGTTCCTTGCTGAACAAGCATCTCCTGTTTAGTAGCACTGAGCACTTGAAAAATGGACCAGCAGTTTCTCCCAGCTGCCTTCTACCAAGCCTTCATCAAGTCCCTTGGGCATATCGACAGCCCAAAGTCTGTTTGGTATTTAATCTTACTGACTGTTTGCTCTCTGTGGTGGGATTTTGTGTAGGATCCTGGGATAGCATCCTGCAATAAATTTCTGTAATCAACTGTTGAAAATGTATTGATGGACAAAGTGAAAAACTGGAGTTGGGAAAAAAAAAAAGGAAGGCAGGAGGGTGAAAAAATTGTGTGGAATACCTAAGAGTTCATCTCAGCTGAGTTTACTGCTTTGACCCTATAACTTTTCAGCTCTCCAAAGGGTATGAAAGAAGATAACCTAAGGATCTTTTTCTACAATAATGCATCATAGCAATCTCTGTTCCTAGTTTTTCATACTGAGTTATGCAAAATGCTAACATCTTTGGAAATTTCAGTGCTGGTGGAATTTCCTGCCCTATATATGAGGTGGGTGTGAGCTGGACTTGGCTAAGATCTGAACTTGAAGAAGCTCTGAGCTAGCTTTAGAGGGTGGATTTGGGTTTGGAGGAGGACATTGCAATATTCTTTGGGTCAGACTCAGCTGGGATTGAATGATATGGTTAAAAAAGGTAGTTTTCTGGGAAAGTAGCATCTAGATATTCTAAAGGTTGTATGGTGACCCTTGCAGGTGAAAAGTAGTTAATTTTTTTCATCTTCTATAGCATCCATGGTTATTTATCTCCCTCAAGCATTTGCTAATTTCTGCAGAAAATAATATGCACTGCCTGAGTCTTTGCCCTCTCTTCATAAGTCCTTCTAGTTTTTCAATTTAGACAAGCTTTTATATTCTGTTCGGTGGGATGTCTCATCCCACTGCATAAGGCCTCAGAAATCCCACTAGCACAATCTCTGTAGTTGGAGGAAGATCCATAAATAATTTTACTGCAAACATGAACGGGACTTTTAGTACGGAACACCACAAGCTCTCCCCCGAGGTGTCATATCACCTGCAAAGTCAACAGAGCTTGGTGGACTGTATGGCAAGTGTGGGCAGTCTAGAGAATACCAGCAGTTCCTTTTCTGCCTCTCATTTTGTTCTTTCCATAAAACCCTGCCAACGTACAGCTCATCGTGACTGTTAGGACCCTTTCAAATCTCTTTGATAGCTCTTCATTAAATCTATTAATATAACTTTTGAAGTAATTATTTTGATCTGTGTATGTCTAAAATGTCTTTTTGAAGAATAATCAGCCTTTGGAAGTGGATGAAAGTGCATGATAAGAATCTGATCCACTGTTGTCTTGTAACCACTTGACTGTTCCTCCTTGCTATTAATAGTGGATTTCTTGGGCGGAATGTAAAGGGGGAGGAAAAGGTGGAAAAACTCCCTAGACAGTAGTTAATGCAGAAAGTTACTAACACTTGCATTAGCAAGTTCTTACACTGTCCCAGAGGGAGAGCACTGATGGGACCTAGTTAAAGACTGAGCAGATTGGGTCCCATTTGCCTGGCATGTGACAGAACTCCTGGTGGCTCTATTAAAAGCTTGTGAGGATGTTGCACTAAACTGTTGTCATGGGCTGAAACTGCCAATGAGCTGAGCTTCTAGATTTGTTTTGAGACTAAGACTGGTGCCAACATAGCATTGGTGGTTTGAAAGAGTCACCAAGTGAAACATAACTGGCACTAAAAATGTACTTTGGATTATTACATACACCTACAAGACTCCTGCCAGACTCTGAATGGACAGTGAAGCTTTCCTGTTATAAAACTGCTCCTCCTTTCCATATGTGAAATACAGACAGTGCTTCTGTACAGCAAATTGCAAAAGGGGATGTACAAAATGCTGTGAAACAAGGAGCAAATTTAAATTTGTTTTGTTTGTTTTCTGTTTCACATCTCCTGTATATATTGACAGTGTGTACAGAGCAGGGATTAAACCAGCAGACTGGCCTAACCTAGGGTGCCAAAAATCCTGCAGATCTCAAGAAACTTGCTTAATAATTGAGTCTAGGAAGAGATTTAAAAGAAAGTGTTCACCTTCAGTAGTGGAAGCTCCATTTGTAAGTCTGTCTCTATATCTAAATTCGTCCCTAGCTTGCCACTCTCTGTCCCAGATTACAAGTTCCTGCCTCCATATTGCTTTTGTGTTGTGCAGCTACCTTGGGAGCCCAATCCAGAAGCCAACCAATTTCTTCCTGGTGTTTTTTTTTTAGTTTGGATCAGTTCCCTGATCCAGAAGTTGTTGTACCAGTACAACAGGAGGAAAGAAATGTTGAGCACAAGAGAAGAGAGGACTGGGACCAGTGATAAGATAGCTTGTGTCTTTTTTTATATTTCACTGTCTTAAGTAGACAGCTGGATAAAACATTGAACAAGAAAGCTTTTAAAGCAAAATAGACAATGTAGAGTAAAATACAAATCTGAACTGCAGAGAGACCAGATGACAATAGTAGCTGATCTCTTTGATTTATCCTTGACAAGGAAAGCCTTGCCTCGCAAGAGATATTTAGTATCTTGCATACAATTGGCTTAATTATTTAGGACTCAATCTCACATATCTTGATGTCTGTGCAGTTTCTGTTCTCATCAGTTTTTACACAAAAGCCTCCACTGAAGCCACCAGGAAGTGCTGTTTAAAATACAATGTGCCACTGTGATTCTGAATCTTTTTATTACCAATTCAGGAACAAAACCAAATGCGAGACACAAGGGCCCAGCTTGGATCAGCACCTGAAAATAAGAATTACGAAGTAAGACAGAGCAATGGTTCTGTAGCCAGGCAGGCAGAGGAAAGGGAGGATTCCAGGGTTAGTGCTGCTCGTTGCTGCCAGTATTTCAGACAGATAGGCAAGGCAAAAGTGATGCTCACCTGTACTGCACAGAGCCCAGAGACCCCTACCAGGGTCAGGCTCAGCTGAACCAGTCAGTACATACAGAGATGGGCTTTCAAAAACCTCACAGGTAAGAGCAGATTACAGCAAGCATAAATCTCATAAATTCAGTGGGAAAAGACAGACAGTGAAAAGGCAGCTGTGCCTATGGGTGAATAAAAACAGGAGGTTCAAGTACAGGAGGTACTCAGAAAGTAATGTCATTTCTGCAGCAGTCACTCCTGATTCTGCTTGCATGTGTTTTGCTCTGAGTGCCTTGCTTCAGGATGGAGCTTGCACTTGCTTTAGTGCTCTGCAGTGCTGTGAACCACTTTGAAGGTAACTCAAATGAAAGAAGTCAGACAAGAGCTCTGCTGATACAATGTTTCCAGTCATTGGTATGTAGTGTTTTTCTCCTTATTCGTCTAGGCTTTGAGCCTGTGAACGTGCAAGAGGATCATCTGCACAAGGGAGCTGTCTGGCTTCTCCCAAGCGTTTAAAGGATCACGTGCATACTTACGCCTGTACTTGTTGTGCTGCAACCAGCAGTTCTGATTTCTCAAAAAGCACAGAAGAGTTGCATTCAGAAGAGTTTAAGTGAAAGGGGGAGAGGGAGGGGAATGTTTTCTCCAGATTCTTGTAGGGGCAACAGCTCAAGCTTTCACGTATGGTCTCTAATACTCTACAATTTCAGCCTCAAAAAAAAATAAGTGGTATTTGTTCATAAGACACTAGGCAAGTCCTGCTCTTTCTTTCATTACTTACTTCCAACTCCTGCAGAATTTAGGGCACTTCAGGGATCCTTTAGGGTTGCCACAGTAACCAGGTCACTTCACCTAGAAGTGAGTTCTCACTTAATCTTTAGTAACTGGACTTCTTGTTGATCTGGATGTGGGCAATTTTAAGTGAAGATAGGGCCTGAAACTGTTGAAACTGGTAGGCCAGATGGAGAAAGTGGCTTATGAGTGCTTATAGGAAACATGAATGATCAGAAAAGAAGTAGGTAACAGGTCAAGCCCAATATCTGAGAGGAAATATCCAACTACTGGCATGAGTGTTAGAGGATTTTCTCCTGCCTCAGAGCCAGGAGAGGTGCGTAAGCCCTCACATTTAGAGATGCTGAAAATAGGACCCATGTGGATATATTCTTGCCCAGCTAGATGCCATCTTTGCCACTCCAGTGACAAGGCTGATATACTGAGGAATATACTCAGGCTGTACTCAGCACAGTACACAGTAGCATCAGAGTTGCATTAATGAATATCCACCAAAATTAGCCTTATATTGTGACTGTCTTCTTCAAGAGCAAATACATTTGACTGTTCTTTTCATTGTAACTCATGTTAACATATCTGAGCCACTCAGAGAGTAGGCAAGAACATATGCAATAGAACATATGCAATAATTAAACCATATAATAATACACACGATGTCCAAAACAACTTACGTGCAGATCTCTGTGAATTTCTGCTCTATTTGTCACTCTCTGGATCCTATAAGACAATGAAAAAACATACTCCTACAGGAAGAGTGTATAGAAAATGTGTAGAACAAAAATGCCACTGGCAGAGTCTGAATATGGAAAACACTTAAATAGCTTTATTAAATTGTAGCATCTCAGGGAGGGGAGGGGGGATCACACAAAGGAGGTTTAAGGTCTGCCAGTTCCTTACACAGGTAATTAAATAACGCAGTGTTTTCAGCTGCCAGCGTTTCTTTGGGAGACAGCCACCCAATGTGGTGTGTCACGTATGCGTGACAAACCTGACTCCAGATTTTTACCCCCATGTGCATGGGATATTGAACTCAACTGAGGTGTTGCTAAACTTTATTGCTTCCCTGTAGTTGCCTTTTGAAAAGGTAGTGGCACCAGCAAATTGTCTTTCTGTGCATGAATAGCTGTCAGTCTGCAAGACCAAAATAGTCTCACTGAAGGAAATTTTAGAAAAATGACCCTCTGCTAACCTGCTCTGGGAGATGTAACGTGCTCCCAGCTGTGGAGTAACCTGCAGCCTAAAAGTGCACTTCAAAGGAAGCAGTTTTGAGGAAAAGCTGCGATGGAAAGGTTATGTTTTTAGTTTTCACCCTCAAAAGGGCCTTGTTAAACTACTCTAATGGCTGCATATTCCACAGGGCAGAAACAATTACATGTGCTTGCAGTAATTAATTCCTTCTGTCTTGCTTTTTTTTTTAATTAATCCTTCAGGTTTTGCTTGATTTTGACCAAAAAAATGCAAGTCCACTTCCCTTGTTAAAACTGAAAAGTTACTATAAATTTATATTCAGCTTCTAAAAGCCCTCTTTCCAGACTAGATGTGTAATACAACAATTTAATCTTTTTTGTTTTCTAAAAGCTCATGAGGTCTATCTATTGTTCTGAAACTGCCTGGGAGCCTTCTGGAAACTACTGCTTCTCAATTAGAGGAATTAAAAGTGAAGAACTTGAATAAAAAAAGAAAAGGCAAAAGGGGTTAAAACCAAACTTAATGTTACAGAGTTTTGACTCTAACTTTACAGTAGTGTTCCCAAGGAAAATAATAACGAACAGTGCAAAGGCATTTATGTTTTCGAAGTCACATGGTTCATTTCCAGGTTTTCACAGAGCTTTTGTTACTTTTATTTTTCCAGGTATATTGGTACACAGGGTAATAACTCTCTTCTGCCTCTCCAAAGAGTGTGAATGCTTAGAAATCAAAAGAAAGTGGAACAGGAGTATGTGTTAACTAAAAAGATTGAAACAGAGACAAAATGCTTTTAATGCAGAGAAACAGCGTTTTAAAATTATTGTCTTCCAATTTGTTTCACTTTGCAGAATGTTAGGGAGGTCTTGATGGTAGTGGTGGTGGCCAAGTGACCTAATGAACATATTTTCTAGTAGAATTCCAGAGGCAGTTTGTTGAAACTAAAGTTGACCTTTCCCATCCACTGCTTTGAGAAGAAACTCTGAAAATGGATGTCTTGGCTTTGGCCTTTCTCATGTTCTCATGAGCATTTCATCAAGAGTCCCTGATAAAAACTGTGGCTTGGAGGGGATTTTCTGATGCCAGAAGTTGTTCAGTTGAAACTAGATTGTGACTGGAGGATTATTTGAAAAGAAATGCTAAATGACCCTAGATTTGTATAGCCTAAAACCAGTCCCTATTGATGTCCCTACTGGATTTCCTACCAGCCAGACCCAGGCCTCCAAGGGCAGCTGGCCAGTGAGACGTTATCCTGAGATGCCCTTTTGGCAGCTTTAGTGGCCTTTAGGTGAGATTGAGTTCCTTCTTCAGCGTTAGCTTTGCTGGTTATCATCCTGGCTGCCCCTCTCTGGGTTTTGTCACATCTGGAATTTTGCAAGCCAGTAAATGGAGCTCACTTTTCTGTGACAAGCAAGGAAGCAAAAGGAGGTAGGTAAATAAGGAGGGAGCATGCTTGCACTCTTGCTTTAGGCTGGAGAGACAAAACTGTTGGTTTCAGATCTCAGGTCAAGAAAAACTGTGCTGCATTCTTTTTCATAAGGTCTCATTTTGGACTCATTTTTAACTCAATGAGAAAGGGAGACAGGCAGGAAGGAGACACAGGATCAGAAGACTCACATTAAATTGATTTGAGCTCTTTAAATCAAAATTGTCAGTTTAGTTTCAGTTGTTGTAAAGGCTGATTTTTGTTTTCTTCTTACATTTTTATACATGTCTTTTCCAACAAGACTTGAATGTAGGTGGCTTGACCTGGCACATCAAAGATTTATTTTTTAATGGGGAAAAAAAAAAAGTTGAGCTATTCCAAGACTGTCAAAGAAATGTTTCAATTAAAAGGAGATTGGCATCAATTAATTTAAAATTTCTTAAATGAACAAAAGAGATAAACAGTTGACCTCTTCCTTTATGAATGCTTTTCTTGATTGTTTTTCTGTACTCATGTATTCTCTGTATACACAGACAAGCTTGTTAGAATTTTATCTGGTGCATTAGCCCTGCTACAAGACACAAGTAACATTTTGGACAATTCTGCTCCAAACAAGCAGTGGTTCTGTATACCTCCTAGTCATATGCTAGTCGTCATTTCTTGTGCTAGTGATGAGTTTTAAATGTGCTCATTTTTCTTTCCTGTAGAATGCTTTTCAGAAATATTGCTAAATCCTTTAAGCAAACTGTGGAAGCATCCTGAAGGAGATGCAAAGGACATGGAACCATTTTACTTTTCAAAAAAGAAAATGTTTTGATACAGTCGCTGAGTTTGGGGTTTTTTTATTTCCAAACTGATGAAAAACATCTGTACATAGAACAACTCAATCAGGGGTTTCTGTTTAAGTTTTCAGGAAGTCTTGGTAGAGATGTTCCTGCTGGAAACTATGGGCTGCTTCTGCCTGCACAGATCAACTTTACTTTTCCTGCTAGTACTCAGTCACAGTTATACGAGATTTATAGATCCTACCAGCACTGACAATGTCATCTCCTACCTGCCAATCCAAGAATGTCAGCAGCAGTCAGTCATTTGCACCCTCTGCAAAGTGCTGACCCACAGCATACAGCTGCCCAGAGGCACACAAGGACCTTCCTGGTACTGATCATCCAGATAGTGAGAAGTTCTCATTTTAAGAAATATTAAGTACCAAAGTTCACATTTTGCTGTTGGGGGCTGTGGTCAGGTTTGCTTCTCAGTCAAACAACTGGCCACAAGTGTAGGTAGAGAACTGATAGTGAAATGTTTGAGTAGGCTGTGGGGAATATCAGAGCTGGAATAAAGCTGTTCAAAAGCTGCATAATTACACTGGAATATGAAATGTGTTTCAAGGTTTCACAGGCTTGTGAGGTTTAAGAGAAAGGAGCATTAGCAGCTGAACTCATCTGTCATCGTAGGATGTAAAAAAAAAAAAAAAAAGAAATCTCTGTGGGTTGGTGTTGCATGAAGGGTTCTTTTGAAAATCAGGTATTACAGCTTTTGACTGCCACCCATCTGTGGTTCTGCACTGGCAGAGAGATGAACTAAGTAGCTGGGGAGCTTGTGCAGTGAATGATGCTAATTGCTAGCAAATCTGAAAGGAATTATATCATGCAGCCACTACAATGATGGAGAATAGACTCAACTACCCAGGACATCCCTTCCAGTGCAAGTCTCCTACAGCTTCCCCTTTAAGTATAGAACAATAGTCCATGTGTTAAAGATACTTTTCCACTGGAGCTATTTTGAACTGTGGTTTCTGCACTGCCTGCTCTTTTTCTTGCTATTGTTTTGAAACAACATCGTCACTTAGACTCCAGAGAAGATGAAAAATCAGAGAATAGTGAAGTATTCCAGGTTTTTTCAGTATTTTAAAGGAGGCATTTTTGTTAGCTCCAGAAGTTGGTAATAACTCATCTTGAGTGTTTGTCAGTGTTCAGTGAAGATCAAGGCTGCCCTTTCTCTGTGTGTGTATGAGGGAGGATCAGACAAAAGTACCTACCAAGAGTGTATCTGAACACAGGGCACTAGAAATTAAGTGTACATTGTTTTCAAATAGCATTAAAACTTCCTTCTGTAAGGATTCTGTGAAACTGGATGGTAAAGAAAGCTTTCCTTGCAGAACTTTTAATTTAGGGGCTTCAAAAGAGGAAGTGCATGGATACTCTAAGATGCCATAGGAAGGAGATTCAAATTAGTAGAACATGATATTTTGAAATTATCTAGAATTTATTTTTAAAAACTACTTCAATTCTAGTGAAATTAAGAGATGACACTTCAGCCTGTCACGTTATTTTGCTTCATTGATAATGGACGTATAAATGGCAGAAATTGTTTCTTCTGTATGGAAAACTGGACATTCTTATTTAATTGATCAATCTATTAGTTCTTAAATGTTTTGTGTAGACATAAAAAATGCCTTGCTAACCAGCTGAACTGTCCCCTCTGTCTGTATTTAGAAAAATGTCTTTTTACGTATGTGCCCCTCTTGGAAGAAATAGTATAGCTATAGGATATGGCTGTAGTGATCTGGTCAGGTTCTTACTTTGTTTCAGTATATGCATCAGACTTATCTGCAGAATATTGTACTGTTGCTGATGCCACACCTTCAAGAATCACTACATCTACAACTTGATGGAGTTTGTGAGACTGAAAAGCATGTGCTTTGCTTTTAAACTGGAGTTTTTTAGAGAGACACTGAGGCTCTGTGATTCTGGGGGTTTTTTCTGTTGTTACAAGAACTTTATCTAGAGCTGAGTTGCACTTAGCTCAGTCTTTATCTGTTGAGCTACAGTGGGTAGACAAGCCATATCCTATAACAAAAAATATAGTTAATCTGTCCAATTCAAATCAGGTTAGACAGTCCTGTAAAGTTCAGGAACATATTTTCTCCAAGTTGTTGTGCTGTTTCTGTCCAGTATTCTCTGTTTTTATGGACTTGTGAGAACTGATCTTTAGCCTAAGCAATGTACTTCGGTCAAATGTCTCCCAGTTTTTTGTGGACGTGTACCTGACAGTCCTGTGAGCATGTGACAGGAGACTAGAAGTGGTCACATTCTGCAAGTCCACCTGTGGGAGCTGGTGGAGGGGACACTGATTTCACTGCGAC